TGAAAGAGACATGATTAATCAAACGTGTATAGTCCAGGGTAAGACGATAAACTACATTCAACAGCAAGATCAAGAGATTGGAGGTTTTCAAGAGCATGGAACCAACTCTTAATTGCTGTTGTAACCAAATCCACACTTTAGCACCTATTAGTAGAGACTAGCAGAGAGCCTGGCGTTGCTTAGGGATGTTAGTATTGACCATCATGAAGACTGAAAAATAAAATTGACAAAGATTATTGTTTAAGGTTGACGACTTAATTAGTTTTTTTGTTTTTTTATGATTAGTCAAACCCAAACATTGTTTTCAATCGTTTGAGTCTACCAATTGAATAGAATTTTATTATAAACAATTGTCTTATAAAGGGAATTTTTAAAGCATTCTGAAAGTAAAAATAAAGAAAAAGTGTGCAAGACAATAAGAAACACTACCTGCCAAAAAAAAAAGTGAAGTTTTGTTGAAATTGGTTGAAAAATGTAGGAAAACCGATCCCATATATAAATGAACACACACATACACACACAAACAACCAACCTGGGTTTTATAATAAGTATAACTTGATATGAGTTGTCCCCCCTTTCATTCTCGCAACAACGATGCCTTTTAATCGTGTTTTCAAATTGATTTTGTACAAAAACAATTGTGTTTTTCCAATTTTTGGCGCTGTCAGAACCACCGCAAGGTAATTTTACATAGTCCTGTAAAGTTTTGTTGAAATCGGTTGAAAAATGTAGGAAATCCGATCCAATATATAAACGAACAGACACACACACAACATGGGTTTTATAATAAGTATGATGTGCGGTTTAACTGAAAGACCAACTTTTTTCGGTTTCATCATCACACCGTGAAACCGCATCGAAATTTTTCACGAAACAGAACGATTTCGGTTTCGTTTTTATATCAACCATATCGAAAGAGATACTATTGAAAAAACTTTCAGATGTTAATAAAAATTAAATTTTATCAACTATACCATTTTTGAACAAAAATATGTTAAAAACCTAGTTTTAGGAAATAAAAAATCTATTTGTTTACAAAAGAAATGAAGAATGAAGAAGAAAAAAAGGGAATACGACATGATGTCTGAAAATGAAATCGATTTTGTTTCAGTTTAAAAAAAAAAACTTTTTGCGGTAAAGTTAACAACAAAACAGAGAGTAAAAATAAAAAAAATACTTGCCAGTTTTCTGACAGTCTTAATGTTAAATTTTAAGAAGTCGGACTTTTTGTAAAGGTTTTCTCTAGTAAGCCAGTACATCAGTCACAAAATAAAGTTGGGTAAATTTGCTTTTCAATCCCCAAGCTAAATATCTATTAATATTTTTCGAAATCATCATATTTCCGTATAAATGTACATGCTGAATTCGAATTAACCATTACAATTATGATAAAATCATAAAACCTATCATTTTGGAATTATCAACCAGGAAAAAAATCAGATATAAGCATGGTCATTCGCCCACCATTACCAGCTTTGTAATTAGATTCACTGCGGATCACTTTCATAGCGGAATCATAACTTTTTGGCCTATTTACTTTCACTGCTCTTACTCGTCGAAATTACTGTGCACTATCATAAAGCAATGACAACAGGGCGATTTTTTTTTTTTTTGATAAGTGTAGTTTTATTTATAACAGAAAACTTTAAACAAAAATAAATTAAATAATACAATGAAACCTTTTTTTCTCTGTAGAAAATGAAAATGAAATTAATTAAAGCTTTTAATTATATTTGATATTTAATTTTATGGTGTATTCACTAAAACAAAGATATTTTTAAGACTGGACCAGAAATACACCAGAAATTGTGAGTTGAACAGACTAAGTTGCAAATTTATCAATCTCAAATGAAATCAGATATCGCCTGGAAATGCTATCATTATACTAGAAAATGAATGGTTTCCTTAGAAAGCAAAAATACTAAATTAAAAACCGATTTGAAAACCGCGGTATCAAGAAAAACAAAACAGGAAACCGATATCAAAACATAAATTGCCAAACCGACCAACTCTCCCTGTTAGGGAAAATAGTGAATCCACAAATTAAAATAAAAACAAGAGGAAACTAAAAAAATTATTTTTATATTAAAAATATCAGCAATACATTGGTAAATTTGATTTTTAAAAAACATTACCAACAATAAATTTTTGAATACATTTTTGTAGAGAAATTACCAGTAATACATTAAAAATGACTAACAATATATAAAAAAAAATGCCAATAGATTTCTATAGTACATTGAAGACATGGCATACATTGTCAAAAAACTCCCCAAAGAACAAAACCAAAAACAGACACATGAACACTCAATTTGCTATGAATAATCTAAATTCTTATAAGGCGAAACATGTTTGATTTTGTAAGATTATTTAGAAAAAGAAAATGTAGTTAAGTAATTAAAATTTAATCATGAAATAATGTTCTCTTGAATTAATTATAGTGTTTAAATTTTCATATTTCAATTTCAGCATTGAATAACCCATATAGATGTTGATATGCCATTAAACAGAACCAACCAAACCAAACATGTATCACATATAACACTTAACTGACTGATTCACTATATTAATTAAGATTATTGTTTTTCATCTAATCTTCTCTGATAGCTAGTTTTTGTATTCATTTTTTTTTAATTTTTAAGTTTGAATATTTTCTTTGCTTGACTGAATAATAGTGGAAATCAAAATAATTAACATTTACAGAAATATATAAAAAAAACTGTTTAAAAATATATTGTAAAAAGTATACAATAGTAATTTTTCTTTCTTTCTATTTTTAGACATTTTTTTTATAAAGTTTTATCTGTATTATGAGGAAAATATTTCTGTCTAAGTTTTTTGTTGTTTTAATCATTTCACTGTTTAGGACTGGGTTTCCAGTTCCTCCTAATGTCTACTTCTATTGACCTTGAATAAACTCTGAAATTTTATTCACTAATTCTTTCTTTATTTTTTCTTCTCTTGCAATAGGAGTAGATAGGTTTGCCTATTGTCCGGTTCACACTCTTCCCTGGTCTTCTGAACAGGAGTAGAGGTTCATTCCTTGTTCTTTATTTAGGATTGGGTTTCTGGTCCCTTCTAAAGTTTACTTCCACACTACATTTCTAACATCTCTGCCTGAACTCTGAAAGTCTTCATTAATTCAATCTTGACCTCTTCAAATCTAGAGTTAGCTGTTATCTTTCCTGCATAGTCTGAAGAACTTCACTTCTTGACCTTTCTTATGTTAATATAACACCACACCTTCTACCTTGAGTTGCTCTCTCTTGCTCCTTGCTTTGAATATTGTCTGGTATTCCTGCTATATATTTAGAGATTGTTGATAAAATACAAAGAAGAATCTGCAATGTTATTGATCCTGACCTGGCATCCCATTTTCAGTCATTATCCCACTGACAAGACAACTAGCAATACATTTTATAGCAAAGCAACCAACAATACGTTTTATAGTAGAATTACCAACAATACATTTTTATAGTAAATATACCAGCAATACATTTTTATAGTAAAATTATCAGCAATATATTTTTGAACTAAACTTAACTGAAACATATTTTTATAGCAAAATGACAATACATTTTGTAGTAAAATTGAAGACATGGCATACAGTTTCAAAACAAATCTTTTTAAAATAACAGTCTGCTAATATCAATCTTATTTCTTGTAAGGAGAAACAAGTTTTCACTCCTTGTTTAATTTTGTAAGATTATTTGATATAAAAAATGCAGCTAAGTAATTATAATAATAAATAATAAGTGGGCCTATTAGACATAGGTCCACATTTTGACTGTAATTTATATTGGACCTATTTGTAATTCTTTGGTGCTAGTAAAAAATTGACCTAACTTTTTCACTCTAGTGTAAAACTGAACATATATGTAACTTTTTCATTCTAATATAAAAGTGAACCCATATCTAACTTTTTAATTCTTGTGAAAAACTAGACCTATGTCTAACTTTTTCACTATAGTGTAAAAGTGGACCAGTGTCTAACTGTTTGAATCTAGCATAAAATTGGACCCTTGTCTAACTTTCATTTTGATGCAAAAAAGTTCACTCTAATGCCCAAGGGAACCTATGTCAAATTCTTTCACACTAATATAAAAGTGGATCAATGTTGAACCCTTTAATATTAGTGTAAAATGGACCAATGTAAAACTTTTTCACACTAGTGTAAAAATGAACCAATGTCAAATTTTTTCACACCAATGTAAAAGTGGACCAATGTCAAACTTTTTCTCAGTAGTATAAAAGTGGACCAATGCCAGATTCTTTCACGCTAGAGTAAAATTGGACCAATATCAAGCTCTTTCATGATAGTGTCAAAGTGGACCAATGTCAAACTCTTTCACACTAGTGGAAAAATGGACCAATGTCTCCTTCACTCTAGTGTAAAATTAGACTCATGTGCTTTCCACTCTAATATAAAAGAAAAGTAAACATATTTAATATTTTCACTTTTGTGTAAAACTGGATGTACGACTGCCCGTTTAAGTCTAGTGTAACACAGGAACTTGCTACTTATTGATTAATTGGTAATTTTGTCCTACTTGACTTATATTTGATATTAGATAATTGAACAAGATGGTTATATCAAGTTAATTGACCTAAACTAACTTTTCCATTTAGAGTCATCTTTTAAATTGTATTTTAAATAAATCATTATGGCAGTTAGGTTGTGAGAAAAATGTGAACAAAATGGTAAATGAAACATTTAGAGAATGAAGATTTTTTTTGTTGATGCATAATAAAAAATCTTTAATAACAAAAATATAATAAAACAAATAACAGAAAGAGAGAGATAGAGAGAGAGAGAGAAAAAAAACTTCTTTCAAAATATAGCAGGCTTGATGTTGTCTGATGCAATAACAAGAAACTGTGTATGTAAGTTAATACATTTTGTAAACAGAAACAGAAATAAACAGAAGTTTTAGCATAGGCACATGTAAGTTGTACTGCACCCCAAGGGGATTAAATAAATATTGAATTGCAAAACTTACTTATTGGAAATTCATCAAAAAGGAATCCACATGTATAAGTTGCCAGTGCAAACCAAAGTAGAACAGTAAATATCCAAGACATTGAATTCATTCTGCAAGAAAAAAAAAAACACCCATTAAGGAATTAATTTCAAAATTACCAAAGTCTCCAAGTGAGCTCTCTATCTTTAATATTACAGGCAAATAAAAAGCTTAAGAAAAAAACAAAACAAAAACATAATCTTATTATAATTGCACTTGTCCCTCCCTTTGTTATTTTACACAATCATTATATCCTGCCAATACCTCATAAATAATGAACAATTCCATTTTAATTGCACAGAAAGAGGAGAAAACACATTACTTAGTTTCAGTGAGAAAATGAAAAAAAGAAAGAAAGAAAAGATAGAAGAATCTAACACCTCCATCATACATAATGGACTATTCTGTTTTGATCACATGAAAAGAGAAGAAAAAACACTACTCAGTGAGGAATGAAAAAAAGGAAGAAGGGAAGATAAAGTTGTTTAAGATAGGGTAATAGTTCCCATGTAAATAGCATAAATAACAATGACAGGATTTGATACAAGGAACACAGAATCTTGGAAGTGGATTTATTATTATTATTATTATTATTATCATCCTATTACAATTCTACTTGTCACATTCTTTGTTAGTTCGCATGGCCATTATGTCCTGTCAGTATATTATAAATAATAAACTATTCAGTTTTGATTGTGTGGAAAGAGTGTAAAAGACACTGTTTGGTTTCAGTGAAAAAAATGAAAGAAAAAAAGGAATATAGTAGTGTTTAATATCTCCTGTCAGTATGTCATAAATAATGGACTATTCCATTTTAAGTGGCCGCAAAGAGAGGGGAGAAGACACTAATCAGTGAGAAAGGATGGAAGGAAAAATGGGAGGTAAGAAGAGAGGAAGGAAGGAAGGAAGATAGATAGAAGTGTTTAGCATCTCTTACCAATATGTCATAAATAATGGACTATTCCATTTTGATTGCATGGAAAGTGGGGAGAAGACATCATTTGGTTTCATTAAGAAAATAAAAGAAAGGAAGATAAAGTGGTTTAATGGCTGTTTCAGCGAAATGAGAAAAGTTGTCAATTTCAAATCTATTCATTTGTACCCACTTCTTAAAATAACAACCCGCAATCATATTTATGATTGTTATTGCAATATTTCGTTAAAGTTATTAAGCTTAAATATTTAACAATGCAATGTTGCCCTCTGATTCCAATCCTTGACCACAGCAACCAAATGTTGACCTCAAGTCTCTCCCAGCTGTCCAAAATGTCCAATGGCCACAGCTGATCAATAAGGTGATCACTTCAATCCAGGCCTTGCCTTATCCCTCATTGTGATTTGTTTTGATCATAAGGTTGACCAGGATCAAATCATCATCAGCTATCTTCATATTGGGCTGGTCCAAGTGGAATGAAGATACAAGAAAAAGAAGTAGCTTGAATAATAGAAAAATATATGTTTATATCTGTTGCTTTATACAATATCTGGTTAGTTTGTCGTCAAACTCTGGCAGTTCGCACGCATCCGATTATCAACCCAACTTGCTTTTTAAGTGAGACGTGACACTTTACTGACTTGGTGAAGTTTAGCATGAGGTTGATTTGGAGGTTGTCTTCAGCAGCCAGTCACGTGGGGAATTTCTCATCTGGTGGCTGAAACAATCTGTGTCACTTCAAGACCTTTGTATTTATTGACATTCACCCAAAACTGGTGTAGGAGCATGATGCGGTTGAGGTATTCAGTATCTTCTCTACCTGTCAAAAAGAACCCTTTTTCCCCTGTCCAGGTTCTGAAAATTAATTACTTCCTAATTTGGGAGATTTCTCCCTTCCACGAATGATGGTCGTAGGCATTAATCAGCCCAATAATTTCTTCCTTCTCTTATTAGCATCTCCCACTATCACTCCTGGGTGTGGGTAACACCTCCACCTTCCTCGGTGTCTCATCTGTGCCTGCTACCTCAGCCACCCTTCAACCAATGGTTCTCGACTGACTGTCAAGGCTTAATCCCCAGATTGTTAATCAAGGAATTACTATTTCAAAAATTGTTTGCTATTCAGAAAAATTCTCTATATCAGTTTTATGTTTTTCTTGTCCAAAATCAGATACAGACGACATGGCCTTTTTCTTTTCACTCCCATCAGGGACATTCTCCAAGAAAACTTATCTCTGAATTGTGATTTTAAATCTTATCCAACTCTCTCCACTTCTATTTTCATGATCAGCACTTTTAGCTGATGGTCATCCATTACCTGTTAGAATGTTACCATATGGACCCTTCATAAGAAGGAATGTTGTTTTAAGCTAGTCTTTCAATTTCTTGAGAAATTTTGACTTTTTGAGAAATAAAATCTTCAATCTTTCCCACGAGGGTTTATTGGTATATCGTTTGTTCTATTCAAAAGCCTTCTTATTATTCACCAGAGATCTGTTAGTATATTGTTCGTTCTATTCAAACGTCTCATTATTTACCAGTAATAAATAGCGTTACAGCAATAGGGGAATTTCTACAGATATTTGGTTGTTGTAGAAATTACCATGAGCTTAGTCCATCATTAACTTAAGAATTAAGATTCATCATAAAATTCAAATAGAAAAACTGTTTAAACTAGTAATAATAATTAAGAAAACTGTGGTTAGTTGTTAACAATTATTTTACCATAAACATTGTACCATAATTATTTGTTCATAATATGCAACCTTAAATTTGGGTTACAAAATTCAAGGGAAAAACTTTCTTGTGTATAACATGCAATTACATTTTAGAGTTTACAGTAGCTAAATTTAATATTTGTTCAAGTTTTAATCTGTTTTGTATAAAATTTTATGACAAATTGTAAAATGGTTCCAGTGATGCATTTCATCTTTTAGAACTTCTTTAGATTAAAATGATTTTTAAATTGATGATATTATATGAGTACCAATGAGAGGGAATGTTGAAAATTTTAAAATTTAAACTGTTTTTTATTCATTAAAACATATTTTGAGTATATAGTCCAGCTGATTTTATGTAGCATGATTTTCTTTTTGTTTGTGTCTTTTATTACTTTTGTAAATAAATATCACACATTGCAATGGAAGAAGATCTGTCAAGAAAGTTGAAATATTTCAAGAACCTGGATGTAAATTTACTGCAGATAATCTACTAATTAATGCACTTTCTAAACATTTTAGTTTTAGTAAATAACTTTCTTTTAATTAGAGCAGCATTTATTAAATCAAAATTAACTTAAATATATTGTTTACTAACTAAATGGGGCATCAACATAGAGTGTAACCTACATAGAATATTATAGAAAAACTGTTGAGATTTTGAGTGTTTCCGCGTGTGTGTATTGAAATAAGGACAAACACATACGTAGGGAAAAATACTGGTATATCTGAAGAGGTATTTACAACAGAGAGATTAGTAGTCAAACGAACGCAGGTTAGTCAGTAACAATCAGAAAGAGTATAAAGTCCAACTGTATCTTCCAGTAGAGAGACAGAAGTGTGATGGTCACCTGATCTCCCCCATAACTCTATAGAACTGTCCTATTAGTAGTAGAGAGAGATCAGTCCATTCTGATGAGAAGGTGGGAGGCCCCAACAAAAACGATATAAAAATTCTTATGTATCAAGAAGAATTTTAGGGAAAAAACAATGTTAAAATAACAAAGTTAATTTATCTATCAGACTTAGATAATAACAGAATGTGATGGACATTATATATATATATATATATATATATATGCCTTGGACTGCTCTAAATTGATCAGTGCAGCTCACTTGTTGTATTTTACATCCTCTATGATCATGCGGATCAGATGCAAGTTGCTTTGAATTGTTCACCCTTTCACAGTACAAGCATGCTCAGGTCCCAACAAGCTTGTGAAATTGACTGCAAATGCTCTGTCAGGATCTTGGCCAAAATCTTTAACTCTATTTAGCAGAATTATGGGCTTGTAATCATCTAAATCCTGCCCAACACCCTTGTCCTTTTTCAACAGCATGATAACATCCCTGGAAATTTGGTCAGAAATGGACCCCTGTCAGAACCAGTTGTTGAACACCACTGTCAAAATCAGAACAAAGATGTGTGATAGCCTCAAGTACATTTCAAAGGGCAGACCAAGTCCCGGAGACTTGCCACTGCCAACCTTCTTCATTGCCAAGTGAACTTTGTGATCTCACCTTCACAGCTAGCCACTTCAGTCGGCAAAAGCCAAGGAAAGTCAGTCAAGGAGCTGTGAAACTCATAGCCATTGAAACCAGGCTCCTTGGTAAAACGGCTCTCAAAATGCTGCCAAAATACCTTGCACACATCCTTGGTCAACCTCAGAGAACTCCCCTCCAAATGTATCCATTGGAACCTTGACAGATCTTCCTTTCACAATTCTGTGCCTATGTTCACAGCTTCATTAGACATCTTTTTTGACCTATGTCTATACCTGACCCTGGTAGAACTTGCTAGCTATACACAGCAGGGCCTGCCTGCCTAGCTATGGCTATCTCTAGGGAATCCCTCCAGCCACCACCCTAGACAGACTATCCTCTAGAGTCTTCAACTTTTTAGCCTAGAGTGAGTCATTGGCTATATTTAGTGGTGAAGGACATAATCCTATCTTTTCGCCTCTCCCACCACCTACTCCCAATAACTACCCCCATTAATTCCAGCTGCACTAATCTAGTCAACTGTTGCTGAAAGTCCAGCCTGTCCAGTAAGGATAGATCGAACTTCCAGTGTCCAGCCATTCTAGGCCTATTACCTAACATTATCTAAGCATAGATGAGTATGATCTGAATAGTCTAAGTGGTGGAACGTGGGACCATCTAGTAAATCTAGGTTGACCCGTCTCACTAACATTCTCCCCAGGTAGCCAGCTACCTGGAGAGACAGCCACTTAAGAGCCCATGTCCACCCTACTCTGACCATTTATCACACTATAATCTAAATCTAAAGATCTGTCACTGATGAGTCATTGGCTATATTCAGTGGTGAAGGACATAATCCTATCTTTTGCCTCTCCCACCACCTACTCCCAATAACTACCACCATTAATTCCTGCTGCACTAATCTAG